GAAAAACTGGACTCAATAATTATATTAGGGCATTTAGCTCAGTGGTAAAGAACTTGTGTAGCACTGACAAGGCTCTGAGTTCAATCCCAGCACCACAAAAACAAACATGACACCAGACTGGATGAATGGGTGACAGTGGATGAACAATTATGAGATGTCAGTTAACTTAAATTTGATGACAATTTCTTAAATTAAAAAGCATTTTTCTTTTTAAGCTAACTATAGCATGCTAGAATTTGGTAAAAGTATATCTTTGTGAACAAAAATCAATCTTTGCTTTTCTCCCTACATGATCCCCTCAGATTTCAGAAAGTACTCATGAATGTTAAACCACAATGAAAAGAAAAGACTCCAATTTAAATCAAACTAAAGCAAGCTTGTAATTCTGACTGGCCAGGGCTATCTCTCCTGAAACCTGTGGGAATAGAAGACAGTACCCCAGCTCTCTAGGAATGCAGTTTTATAGCACAAAAAGTTACAAAAAAGGTGGGGGGGTGTCTTGTGAACTTACAAATAATAGAATTTTGACAAGCATAATACAAAGGCAGGTAGTAGGTTAATGGTCTAAATGGTTCAGCACGTAGGAAGTAAATTTAGATCCCAACATCAGAATTGATGAGGCACCACTAAGGTTTTAGAGAGGGTTGTTATCTGGTCAAGGAAAGCCAGAATTTATTAGACTAAGGTTTCAGAGAGGGTTGTTATCTGGTCAGGGAAAGCCAGGCATGGGTGAGTTCAAGGCATGGGCAGGCATTCCAAGCAAGTTTAGAAATCACAGTAATTTATAGTAAAGCCGAAATTAACTTTTCATGCCTTTGTGACAAGATGGCTCCCAATCTTAAGAGAGTATTAGGCTGGGTCTATCATGAGTATCCTTATTTTTATGGCAATACAGTGAGTTGCATAGTTATTAAGCATTGTTTTCTTTGTAATAGAAATACAATTGGAAATACTGTTTATATACAAAGTTTTCACCACATGTCACATTTGAGAATGTATACAAAACGAATTGATAGGTACTACAGGTAACATCTGAAATCAGCCTTGTTTTGGCTTCCTAGTGCTGGGAAGTTTTTAAATATCCAATCTGAGATTTCTTTTTTCTTTTCTTTTTCTTTCTTTCTTTTTTTTTTAAGAGAGAGAGAGGAGAGAGAGAATTTTTTAAATATTTACTTATTTTTTTTTTTTTTTAGTTTTCGGCGGACACAACATCTTTGTATGTGGTGCTGAGGATTGAACCCGGGCCGCATGCATGCCAGGCAAGCGCGCTACTGCTTGAGCCACATCCCCAGCCCCTCAATCTGAGATTTCTTATCAGAAGTCCTTGCTGCAGTTCTATAAACAATCAGGACAAGTTGATGAGGCCTAACTTATTTTCCAAACAGATTAGTCATATATGAGTGATAGAAGTAGGGGTAACTAATGTGAAAAACTGTTTTAGAAGAAAAACAAGATAGTACGCTTGTCATTGGACTATAACCCTGTACAACATTTTCAAGTTGCTATTGCCTGCCTGTAGTCTGGACTGGATGTTCTAGTTTCCTCCAAGATCTGGTTGAGAACTTTCCCAACAAGAACAAGAATGCTCCTTCCTTGTGAGACCAACCTTGCATGTGACTGAGTCACACTCCCCTGCTGGGTGCTGAGGCATGCAGTCGCAGAAATGTGGCAGAGCTTTCCCCACCTTTCTTGGGTCCGCGGGTAGGTGTCTCATGCTTGGGTGTGTCTTGCTACAGCCCCATGGGTGAAGCTATGCTCACCTGTTCCTTTGTAATATAACCCCTTGCCCTGTTTAGGATAGAATCTTCCATGGAAGTGCCTTGTTTGTGTCCCCTTCTCTTACTGTGTCCTTGGGTGTGGCCTGCCCAGATGTCAGTCAACCTGCTGACAGTGGACATCATGAAGATAGACTCAGCCCCTGAAACCTAACCCCTTGCCTCATTTGAATAGCTTCTCCTCAATAAAAGGGGTCAGCACGTGCTCTCGCTCTCTCTCTTCCTGGGGACCCTTAAGGTCAGAGGAGCCATCACAGCGACCCCAAAGTAAAAAGTATTTGTGTCTCTTGTGTGGTTATTTTATGCAGCCCAGTTCAACTGGAGTAAACCCTGAGCCTTTTAGTCTCTGAGAACAGAAATCTGGTACTTCCTGAAGCCCTATAAACTGGAGCTGGACAACGATGATGAACCCTAAGATTGGGAGCCATCTCATCACAAAATCATGAAAAGTTAATTTCTGTTTTACTTAACCCTCTCTAAAACCTTAGTGGCACCTCACAAATCCTGGCTCCCCCTGACCAGATAACAACCCTCTCTGAAACCTCATCGGTGCCTCATAAATCCTGATGTTGGGATCTGAATTTACTCCCTACCTTGAAATATCATGCCATGTAGATCACTAACCTGCTATCTGCCTTTGTATTCAAAATCCTGTTAGCTGTAAGTTCTCAAGACACCATCCTTTGCAACTTTTTGTGCTGTAAAACCTTGTTCCTGGAAAGCTGGGGGGCTGCTCTCTAGCCCTGATTGGAAAGACAGTCCTGGCCAGCTTTCTTTGTGTACATAATACAAGTTTGATTTAAAATTGGAGTCAGTGGTCTTTCTTTGCATGGTGGTTTAACACTGCATGTAAATTTCTGGAGACAAATCTCATGTCTGAAGTGTGGGTCATAGCAAGTTGACCCAACTGCCCAATGTCATAATCAAAAAGACAAACTGCACACCTGGCGAAGTTGATAGCCTCACACTGGGCTGCTCTTTCCAAGCTGCTCTTATGTTGTGCTCGAATTCAGGACCCCCAAAAGACCACCAGAGACCAAGATCGATGTAAACAGCAAAGAGGTGTTTATTGCACGCTAGCTCGGTCCTCCGCACGCACACACAGCAACTGGTGACGCTGAGAGGCCCCGAGCCCAGGGTTTGCAGCAGTTTTATACATTCTTTGGAGAAGGGGTCCCTACCCCCACATACGTCATAGCATCTCTTAGCAAATCATCACACACCACGGGAAAATCAAATAACAACTCTAAAACATGATTAGCACATTCACTGGCGGGAACAGGTTGGGTAGGGGTGATTGGTTACTACAGAAGGGGTATTCATTTGAACTGATTGGTTTAAGCCAAGAGGGGTATTCATGCTGAATTACATGGTTTCCCAACACCATAAACTACTGGGAGGGTCACCTGGCATCCCAGGTATTTCCCTGTCTCATGCTGATTGGTGGCTGCTAGCGGGTTGCTATGGGCCCCCACCTAGCCTGACTGAGTCAGGGACACCTGGTGCAGCAGATCTCATTTGTAGATAAACAACTTAGCAGGGTGGGAATGTGCCTAGGAGTGCTCTGTGGGTCTTTCCAAGGACAAAGGTCATGTCCCTTTCCTTGGACAGGCTTTGCTCTGAGGTAGAGGCTGATTTTTCACTTACAGCTTAATTTTTCCTTGATCCCACCTGCCTTTCTTATTTGGCAGGATAAGGCTGTACTTAGAATTTCAAGAATCATATTGAAGCCAGAATTAGACAGGCAGGTCAGTATAGAGAGATAAATAAAGTCAGGTCAGATAGAGTCAGGCCAATTTTGAGTGAGTCCTGGGAAGTTGAAGGCTGCCCAGAGAGATTGAAATGTTAATTCCTTCAGAGCCCTTCCTCCACCCTTATCAAGAACCTGTCCCTGCTCCAAACGGTTCTAAGGTAACCTGTCCCAGGAAATGCCCCTCCCTACAGGGAGCTATAAGGTTGTTAATTAATGTGTCTAGAGCTGCCCTTCCGCCTTCAGCCCACCTGTTTCCCACCTTTTGGTCATCCCTCGGAGCATTCCTGGGCCTAGTCACCTTGGCAGGAAGGAGAAAGGTATGGGGAAGAGGGCAGGAGAACAAAGGAAGCCTAGGACATATAAAAAGGGCCAAACGCCTGGGTTCTTCCAGCTATAGCCCCCTTCTCCTTCCTGGGATAAGTCTATTGTACCCCTTTTAAATAAACCCTGCTTTATATGCTTGCCTGGGTGTGCTTCTCTAATATTCACACTTCAACATGTCATGCCAGACTCTTGTCTTTTAATAATCCTTACAAAAAGCAACCTAATTTAATCTATCCGTTATTTTCTTTCTCCTTGCCCCCACTTTACAGAACCCACAATCCTGCTAATAGCAGAGGAGCTTTCCTTACATCCTGTAGAACTGTAACCAGGGTCAACTTCATGCTGAGGGTAAACCTTGCCCCTCCACCGCCAAGTGTCTTATTTTATAAAACTAACATTTTTTCTGTCCCAGGATAATCTATTTGTATCCTTCATAGCCCAGAAGTGTCACTGCTCACAAGAGTAAAAGAACTTAAGCCTGGGAACTGGAGCAACAGCTCTCTCAAGGACACCAAGGGACACTAATCATAGCTACTGATAATATCTGGGGCCAAGCCCTTGTACTATTATTATTCTATCCTCCGTCCTCCCTCGCTGGGAGAAATCACAGCCTGGAGACAAAAGTCCTCTGTTTCTCCTTTGCAATAAAACTTTCCTATTTCGCAATCCCTCGTCCGCGTTGTCAGTTCCGAAACGGTGACAAGGACCTAGTTTCCCTGTAAGAACGGAGGCTGCCCGGCTTACACGCCGCAAGCACGGGCCAGTCCCACCCGAGACCGTGCTGCCACGCGGTCCTCCCTCGACAGCTGGATGCTCTCTTCTGCCCGCGACCCCTAACCGTTCGGAGCCCACGCTGCGTCCTGGAAGAGCCAGCCCCTGCCCTCCACGGGCAGCAGGGGGACGCTGCGTAGAAACCGGCCAGTGCAGTGGGCCTCCGAAGCGCAAGGGCAGCCGGCGCGGGGATGTGACGTCACGGAGGTGGTTGGCGCGGGCGGCCGGAGGCCCGCGTGGGCGGGGCCGGCGCGGCCCTGTGACGCATCCACGTGTAAGCGCGCGGGGGCCGGCGCGGCCCTGTGACGCATCCACGTGTAAGCGCGCGGGGGCCGGCGCGGCGCTGTGACGTAGGCCTCACGGGCGGGGAGGGGCGGCGCGGTGGCAGCGGCCCTGATGCTGCGGCGCCCGCTGGCCGGGCTGGCGGCGGCCGCCCTGGGCCGGGCACCTCTGGACGGTGAGTGCGGTGCGGGCTGCTGGCGGCGGCTTTTCCGGGGCCGCGGTGGCGACTGTCCGTGTTCGGGAGCCTGGCAGACGCGTCCCCGCCGGTCCTTAAAACCTTGCGTGGCGGGATCGGGCGCCGAGCTGCAGCCGCCCGCAGTCCGCGCGCTCCGCGCCCGCCCCGGAGGTCCCCGGCGAGGCTCGCGGGCTGGCCGTTGCGGGGTTTTGGGTAGGCCGGCGCTTAGAAGTGTCCCGAGCGCGGCTGTGGCAACGGGGCCTGGCTCCTCTTGGCTTCCAGAAGCCGCCGGTGCGGAGCTGTCCCCAAGCACGGTCTGAGCCGAGATGGAGCCTGCAGGGCACAGGATGCTGTCGTGAGGGGGCTCTGTCACTAACAGGCCAAACACGTTTATGTCTTTCCACAATGTCAATCTGTTGAACGACACGCCTTCCTTGAATGGGTTCGCTGAAAGTCGTAATCCAGGAAAATACGAGGTCTTTTATCCAGCCCTAATTCCTCCTGTCTAACACTCAAGTCCCACATCACACAATGGTGTACACAGGAGAAAGACTGAGGAAGGGTCAAGGCAGTGCAGGCTTACAGGGTGCTGCATCATGAGCCCAGGCTGAGACATGAGTCAAGGCTCAGTCACTGCAGGTAGGTGGTCAGATAAGAATTTTAACGAATCAGTTCTGCAGAGTTGTCAGAGTCCAGGTGGATGGCAGTTTCGGTGTCAGCTTAGAGTGGGGCCATGTGTGGCCATCCCAGCAGGACAGACTTCTCTGCTGCAGCCCAACGGGGACAGGAAATGGAAGCTCCTCACTAGTGAATTTCCTGAGCAAGGCTGTTGATGAGTGCCCAGGGGGTGGGGTCAAGGTACTGCCGTTCAGTCTCAAGGCTCCTACTTTTATGGGTCTCAAGCAAGGAAGGGGTTTGCATCTGCTGAGATGGATAAGCTCCCATGTCTGATGTTCCTGATGTGATTTGGTTTGTCCATGCGTCCAAGTGCTCCTTAATTTAGTTTGATAAGTTGGCATATATAAGTTATTTATCAATGTGTGCCTTACAGTTGGTTGTATTGGGCAGATGGTGGTGGTTTACTTGTATAAACAAGGCATGGAGTCATTCTATCTTGGCACTTGCACTTAAAATGAGTAGCTTATGGCAAACTAGTGCTTCATAAAATGGAGAAACTCAAGTTTGGGCTCAGCCTGAGAACTGAGAACATACATAGCCTGCTCTCCAAGCGAGACGTGCAGGAGTTCCTATAGGTGATGCTTGGAGCAGGTGAAGGTGCCATGTAGTACCTGTCCTGAGGAGAGGGTGGAAGCCAGGTGATAGCTGGCCACTCTTGGGTAGAGTCAAGGGAAGAGAAGGAACGCAGTTTGCTTCTGTAGAAGGGTGTCCTTCAAGTTCACCCTTGCAGGGTCTTCAGAGGGCTTTGCCTGCCACAGTGTGGGCTTTTCTGGAGTTTTCTGTCACTCTTAGACTTCACAGACCATGTTTTGCTCTGAGGAACTCAGGAAAACTTTCTTCTTCAGTCCCCAGGAAGGACAGGAAAACTTTCTTCTTCAGTCCCCAGGAAGGACAGGTTAGGATGGGATTTGCTACTTGGGGCTTTCCTGTCTCAGTCACTGATAGCAGAATTTCCTGCCATGCTGGCCAGTGGTGCCACTGCCTTTCCTTGAGGCTCTGGAAACCTTGGCCTGGCACTAGATTTTGGCTGGAAAAAACAAGACCAGCATGTCCTGAAGTTGTGAACTTGAATGTATTACATTTTGCTCCAGCCACCCCACACTTTCCCCTGTCTGTTCAGGCACATGCAGAATAGTCAGGAAGCATGTTGAGATGATTTGAGAAAGAGGTAGAAGGAGCGGATGGGAGGAGAATGATCCCACATCATTAGGAAGGAAAGGGAGGGAGTTGGGGGGTAAGCCCAGGAAAGCAGGTGGAGGAGGAAGGTGCCTCTGTACTCAGCTCCAGGTTCCTCTCTGACCCTCCCTGTGCTGGGCTGGGTCTCCCCCTGCAGAAGAGGGCTACTGGCCAGCCCCGTGGGGTCCTTGCACTCTACTGTTGTTTGGTTCTATTCTCTTTGCTTGTTCTGCCCTTGTTCCTTTTTCTTGGTGGGGAGAATCTCAAACAGGGCAGTGTCAGCAAGGCATGGCAGTTGTACAGGGCTGGGTGCTCCACCCTGCTCTGGCTTCCTCTGAAGGCAATGGTAGATCCTGTCCCACTTGGGTAGGAGGATAAGACAGAAAATGCTCAGGCTGTTCCAGGTGCTAGGTTTTTTTTTTTTTTTTTTTTGGTTGTTGTTGTTTTGTTTTTTATTTTGTTTTTTGGGGGGGCAGGTAATGGGTATTTAACCCAGGAGCACTTTACTACTGAGCTACATCCCCAGCCCTTTTATTTTTTATTTTATTTTAATTTTGAGACAGGATCTCACTAAGTTGCTGAGGCTGGCCTTGAACTTGTGATGCTTCTACCTAACCCTCCAATTCACTGGGATTACAGGCAGGCATTACTGTACCTGGTCTAGGTGTCACCTTATTTAGAAGAAGCTCCATAGGGCTGGGTGGTCTCAAGCTGGGACATGTCACCTGGGTGCCCAAAGCCACTTGTTTCTCAGGAGAGGGTTAAAGGGAGCTGACATCTTCGTTCTTTTGGTGTCTTCTGGAAGGCAAAGGGAGGAGGCAGCTGTGGCAGAATCCAGTCCTAGGGGCAGGCTGTAGGGAGGAGAGGAGCGGGGCTGCTGGTACAAGGGAAGCCCAATTCAAGTAGTTCCCAGCAAATGCTTCTGGGTGACAGTCCCTCCTGAGCTCCTATGGAATTCTCTTGTATCTCAGCCACTTCTTACAGATGTGGGGGTTTTGGCTCGTGACCAGAGTTTGGAACTGAAAGAACCGAAGAGCAAAGGGTCCAGAGTACTTTCCACAGTCTCCCCAAAACAAGTTGCCTCTGGCCTGTGGTTTGGCTCAATGCTCTTGGTAGGTGCTAGGGTGAGAGTCAGCTGTGCAGTTTCCTTCCCAGGGGAGGTGCCTGGGGCTACAGCTGTGTCCCACGTTAGTTGTGCCGGCTTCCCCAGCGCAGGCGCACACACCCCACTGTTCCAGTAGGGGCCTACACCAGCTCAGCTGGGCCTGCTGTCAGCCTGTGGTTCCTCTGGTGGGGCTGGCCAGGGCAATGTGGTCCTGTGGAAGAGGGACAGGTACTCCTGGTTGTGAGCTCCTGGTGCTCAGTGTGTGGCTTGTGCCCTGGCGAGACTCTGTGGAGCCCTTAGAACATGTGCCAGGTCTGCCAGGCCAAGCTGGTGTCTTCCAGCTGTATCTCCCTGCCTCTCCTCCAGGTAGGACAGGCGGGGTGCATCCTCCTGAAGAGGCTGGCAAGCTGGGCCTGGGGTGCGCAGTGCAGCAGGGCCATGGCAGGGATGGAGCTGGTTGTGATGCAGGGGTATGGGCACCTGCACAGTGTGCTTCTGTTAGAGCAAGGCCTGCTGCTAAGCTGAGGCAGTCGCAGCAGTCCCTTCTTACCCGGTTCTTGGGGTCGTGCCAGGAAGATACCAGACATGTCCCTCAGAGTGGCAGGCATGAGTTTATTGAAGGGAAAGGAAAAGGAGACTCTCAAGGGAGAGAGTGGGTCCTCTCAGAGAGGGGACAGCATGCCCCTCCTGCTCTCCAGTTTTATTGGAGTCCTGGGGAAATTGTCAGACAGTCCCAACCTGGTCCACCTCTTGACTTTTGACAGCATTTTTTTTTTCAGTTGTAGTTGGACACAATACCTTTATTTTATTTATTTTTACGTGGTGCTAAGGATTGAACCAAGGGGGCCTCGCACGTGCTATGTGAGCACTCTACCACTGAGCACAACCCCAGCCCTTTGACAGCATGTTGACATCAGGCATGTCATGACATCAGGCTATCATGATAACTCTAGTTCACTTTGGCTATACTGACTGATTCTGATTGGAACCTGTTCTTACCAATTTTATGGTTGGGAGAATTATCCTTCATCTCCTGTGTTCTGGGGGCCACAGAAGTCTCCCTTGGGGTAACTTGTGTTCTTCTTGACATTTTGGGCCTGCATTTCTCATGCAGGTAGCAGGTAGTTAGCTGAGAATGTATCCTGTGGACTTGAGCCAGGCAGGGCTGCAGGTAAATTACTCTTTAAAAGAAAGCACAGTGGGCCCAGTTTACAAAATTATCGCCTTAATCTCAGATTCTCACTGTTTTGCTTGTCTGTTCCCTATCCCTCACTGTCATCCATTTGTCCCCCTGACTGCTACCACAGCCCACAGGTGAGTGGCCCTGGGGATGGGGTACAGACTCCCATCCTCCCAAAATGTGGGACAGCCTCCTCCTAATGGTACAGTAGTACTCAGCTTCCTGATACCGCAGTACCTGGTACAGTAGTACTCCTCCTCCTGTTCTGTAGTGTTCCTCCTCCTGTTCCAGTAGTACTCCTCCTTCTGTTCCAGTAGTGCTCCTCCTCCTGTTCCAGCAGTGCTTGTCCTCCTGATACGGTTGTACTACTCCTCCTGGTACAGTAGTACTCCTCTCCTGTTCCGTGGTATTCCTCCTTCTGTTCCAGTAGTGCTCCTCCTGGTACAGTAGTACTCCTGGTACGCTAATGCTCCTCCTCCTGTTCCAGCAGTGCTGTTCCTGGTACAGTAGTGCTCCTCTTCCTGGTACACTAGTACTCCTCTTCCTGGTACAGTAGTGCTCCTCTTCCTGGTACACTAGTACTCCTCTTCCTGGTACACTAGTGCTCCTCTTCCTGGTACACTAGTACTCCTCTTCCTGGTACACTAGTACTCCTCTTCCTGGTACAGCAGTACTCCTCCTCCTGGTACAGTAATGCTCCTCCTCCTGTTCCAATAGTGCTCCTCCTCCTGGTACAGTAGTGCTCCTCCTCCTGGTACAGTAGTGCTCCTCCTCCTGGTACAGTAGTGCTCCTCCTCCTGGTACAGTAGTACTCATCATTCTTCCAGGTGGTTTTCTCTTTTCAGCAACCAAAGTATCTGTGCTGTGATTGCTTGCAGGAGTCCGTATACTTGTTAGGGATGAAATGCTCCCTTCCTATGAGGGAGAGACCTTCAAGGTAGAGACCTTTCCTCATTCAGGTTTGGGCAGCCAGTAACAAAACCAAAGCTGAGCATCAGCAGTACAAGCTTTATTCAGTAGCTAAAGAATGGAAAAGCAGGATTTCCTCACAACTCCACCTCTCCACCCCTGAGGGTTCCAGAATCATAGACTAGGTTAGTGGAAATCAGGGATTTTGGGAAGGTGTCTGTTTTCTAGGAATCCACATGCCACCTGTTCTTTTATGTGGTCCTTCCTGGTTGCTACCAGGGTGACTAAACTGTTGGAGTGCTGGTAGTTGTGTCATTTGGCACAGAAGTCGGGTGATACTGAAGCTTGAGGCCCTTGGCCCAGCTGGCCATACGTGGCCTGTTAGTCACCTTCTGGGCGTTCGGTCTTTGTAGACAAGCCAGCTGAGTGGGGCAAATCAGACAGACTGCATGGACAGTGCTGGGGAATGCACTGAGTCTGGACAACCCCAGGGTGAGCCCTGCCGTGAACCCATGTTACCCTTACGCGAGCCAGGAGCTCTAGAAGCTGGCCTGGGTTACAGGGCTCCTGTGTCCTGGGACACTCTGGGGTACGAGAAACTGAATGTGCCAAGTCAGCAGATGCAGAGCCCCCACAGGCAGCAGCAGGCCACCAACCTGTGGCCACCTGAGTGCCTGGTGTAGGCAGCAGGGAGGGCCACCCTGTGGAGCCAGGATGTGCAGCTGGCAGCAGGCCTGGGTGAGCAGGGGTGGCCTGGGGGTGAGCTCTGCCTGGACGCCCCAGAGAAGGTGGCATGCAGAGCAGCGTGACAGGTGAGAAGACACCTTGGACAGGCAGGCCAGAGCAGTCTGTCATGACCTGCTGGTGATGTGGGCCAGGCTCCCCTATCCCTCCTTCCTGCATATTTCGCAAGCGGTCCTGAGTGTTTCTTCTCAAGAACACGTACAAACGTGTGCGTTTCAGTGTGTACGTGCGGATGTGCATGTTTTGAGTGCGTGTACCTTGTAGGGGCACCTGCGGGCAGTGTCCTCTGGCGTATGCCCCTGTATGTGAAGAGCCGGCATGGTGCTCTGAGATGACCTCGTGGCCTACATTGGAGATTAAGAAGCAGGCCTGTCCACACAGGTGCTTGTCCCTGCAGGCACTGTGCTGCTAACAGCCCAGGGCTAAGGTGCTTGGGTTGCCAGGCAACCCCTCCAGCTCCTACACAGCCTCCAGGGTCTCCCTCTGCCCAGGCCAGCACAGAGTGGCAGCTTTAGTCCCCCAAATCCTGCCTGGATTTTCCTCCCTCCTACTCTCACCCATATGCTGCCCTGGGCAGACTTGGTCTTGCACCCCTCAGCTCACATGGGCTAGGGTAGGGCAGGGCAAGGAACTTCCTTTTCCTTCCTCCTCGGTATGGGGGTGGGGCTGGCTTCCCTGTGAGGGTAAGGGCCCCTGGGATCTAGCTTTCAGAAGGGCAGGGTTGGCACTTGGGGATTTAGCTCTCAGAAGGGTGGGGCTGGGCACCCAGGGGATCTAGTTCTAAGAAGGGCGGGATTGGGTGTCCAGGGGATTTAGCTGTCAGAAGGGCAGGGTGCAGGCTTGTCAGAGATTAGCCCCCAGCCTTGAGTGCAGAGCAACTGCAGTCTTGCCCCAGGCTGACCACAAAGGAGGCTGCACCCCAGGCAGGTGGGTGCTGTCCCAGGGAGACAGGAGGGGCTGTCCCCCAGGGAAAGAAGGCCTGCTCAGGGCCAGGTTGGTGGGAGGGTGAATTGGAGCAGTCAAACGCTGGGAGACCGTGGGGTCAGGGCTGGGATTCAGTCGATCCTAGGGGAGGGTCCCTGTCCTAGGGCAGTGCCAGCAGATCCATAAGGAAGGAAACTGGTGCAAGATTGTGCTGAGCTGTGGGGTAGGGCTCAGCTGATCCCACAGACCTCCCCTTTGGCATAGGCTGCTCAGTGCCTTCCTGCCACAGGTGTTGAGCCCTTAGCCACATCCAGCTTCCCCTCTTAGGGCTGCCCCACCTGCCAGCAGCCAGTGCTTCCCAAACTCTGGCATCAGAGACCAGGACTAGTGGGAGGTTCCCAGAACAGACTTGGATTGAGCAGACCTTAATGAGACCACACTTGTGGGGACAGGAACACTCCCACCTCAGACCCGGCCACCCAGCAGGCAGTACCACCTGTAGGAGCCAAAGCTAGGTTCCCACATGGGGTAAAGGTCTCAGGGTCCCAGAGGGGTGGCACTGGGTAGGGCAGCCCTGGGTGGGGCAGGGGTTTCAGGATGGGATCCTGGAGGCAGCCCTGAGTAGGATGGAACTGGAGTGGACAGTGTCATCTGGCTCAGGCTTAGCTGGGGGAGACACAAGGGTGGGGCTGGAGCCCTGTTGGCCTCCTTGCTCTTGTGGCCATCTTTGCTGGATTAGCACTCTTCTGTGCATGGTGCACATTGCACAGGAAGCTCACCCCACTGCCTCCTGTGTGGTCCAGTGCTGGCATGGGTGAGGGCACAGCTGCCCACACCTGCACCTGCCCCTGCACAGGCATGTCGGGACCCAGGCCCGTGGTGCTGAGTGGGCCATCCGGGGCTGGGAAGAGCACCCTGCTGAAGAGGTTGCTCCAGGAGCACGGCAGCATCTTTGGCTTCAGTGTGTCCCGTGAGTACTTTGGGGACATGAAGATACGGGCTTCAGAGGTTAGGGGTGTTGTCCCCAGCATGGAGCCACTCTGGAGGCCCCAGAGGCACACACACAGCCTGGGGGTGCTCTGCTTATGCCCCTTTCCTGGGGTCTGAGTCTGCAGCAAGCCTCCTGGTCTCCATGGACCCCAGAGGGCAGGGCTGGGTTGCCAAGGCCTCCTGCCTATGCGGTGCAGGCCTCAGGTCTGGTGCACAGCCCTGCGGTGGGCCCCTGGGCAGAGCATACCTGCCAGAGAAGACTTGTGGAGCTGGTGGGCCCCAGAGTCTCTCAGTGGGTGGTGGGTCTTTTTTGTAGATACCACAAGGGACCCGCGGCCTGGTGAGGAGAACGGCAGAGGTGAGTTGGCTTGGGTAGTCCATGGGCCCTGGCTGCAGCTGGCATGGTGTTGGGAGGTCTCCTCATCCCCTGCCTCTTGGCTGCAGTGCACACAGTGGTCTCCCACCTGTGAGAGGGTCTCTGCCTTCAGGGTGGTGGGTGTGATTAGGTCCTGTGCCTCTTGTCAGCCTGGGGGAAGCTACAGAAGTAGTGTCCTGGGCACCTGACCCAGGCTGAGCTTGGCCCCGCTGCTGTGTGGTGTGCTGGCAGTGTGCTCCTCTAGCATGTCCCAGACACTCCATGCCTGATGTGTGGCCCAGGGGTCCCCACCTCCTCTGTGGAACCTGGCAGTCTCCAGTCCCCACAGAGGGGACAGTGCAAGCAGTGGCACATGACACATGGACAGAGCAACCCGGACACAGGATGGAAGGAGGGCTGTCAGTACTCCGAGGAGATGGGGATGCTGGCCGGGCCGTGTGGTGGGCACCTCTAGACAGCCTTCCTCCTCTCCAGATTACTACTTTGTGACCAGGGAGGTGATGCAGCATGACATCGCCGCTGGGGACTTCATTGAACATGCTGAGTTCTCAGGGAACCTGTATGGGACAAGGTGGGCTGTGCATGGGGTAGGCCCAAAACCCCTGGGGCCATGGGTCAGGGTCCCCATGTCATGGCAGCAGTGGGCTCTCCAGTCTTCCCCTCCGATACTTTCCACTCAGTCTGCCTGCTGCAGCGTGCCCTTCCCCAGCTCCCATGGAGCCCTTGAGCCATCTAGTGGGTAAGGGAGCACATGAGGAGGCACAGAAACAGGCCTGTCCAGAAGCCCAGGGTCAGGCAGTGCCCACCAAGAGGAACCCCATGTGGCTGCAGGACAAGTGACTATGCTGGCAGGGGCCTGGTGGGGGTGTGCTTGGGGTGCTCTGGAAAGTGCAGGGGGTGCTGGGGACAGATGAGGCCCTGCAGCTGCCCAGGGGAGGCTGGGAGGGGAGGGGCCAAGTCCCTCTGAAAGTCTTGGAGGCCTGGGGCCTGGCAGAGCAGAGCAGTGCCACTGAGCTTCTGGCTGCGCCCATCTCTGACCCTAGCAAGGCGGCCGTGCGGGCCGTGCAGGCCATGAACCGCATCTGCGTGCTGGACGTGGACCTGCAGGGCGTACGCAACATCAAGAAGACAGACCTTCGCCCCATCTACATCTCTGTGCAGCCTCCTTCACTGGATGTGCTGGTGGGTGCCCGGGGCAGGGCTGGGCGGGCACCCAGGAGGCTCTGACCCCACATGGGCCTGCTTTCTAGGAGCAACGGCTGCGCCAGCGTAACACGGAGACAGAGGAGAGCCTGGCGAAGCGGCTGGCCGCCGCTCGGGCAGACATGGACAGCAGTGAGTGCAGCTGGGGTCCCCTAAAGGTTCACACCCCCGTCTCCACCCGGATCCTCTTCCCTCTGGTCTGTGCTCAGTTTGCTGCAGGTGGGGGTTGCTTGGCCCTTCTGCTGTCTCTGCAAGGGCGTGGGGCAGCCACATCACCAGCACTGCTAGCCCTGACCAGTGTCTCGAGACAATCGTGAATTTGAGCTTGGATTCAAGAGCTTGACAGGACTGAGCCCCTGCTGGGGTTCTGCAGAGAGGAGAGTGTGGCTTGGCACCTGGCCCTTGGGGTCTGTCCCTCCCATAGCCTGGACATGCTGGGGCTGCCTCGCAGAATAGCAGCAAGGGAACACAGCTAGGTGATGAGTTTGGTGCTGCCTGTCCCTGACCCCATCTCATCCCCAGGCAAGGAGCCAGGCCTGTTCGACCTGGTGATCATCAATGATAACCTGGATGAAGCCTACGCGGCACTGAAGCAGGCACTGTCTGAGGTGGGCCTCCCTCCTTGGTCCTGGGCAGCCCCTGCTCAGGCTGCGTCCTGTGTGGACTCTGGAGAGGCTTGGTGTACCCACACTGGCACAAGACCGGGTGTCAGCAGATGGGAGGACCAGTCCTCCCCAATCCCAGCCTTCCCTGACCTTTCTTTCTTCCTCCTGGGCAGGAAATCAAGAAAGCTCAGGGGACAAGCCATTCCTGAGGACCAGCTGTCCAACCCACAGGCGCTTCCCGTGCCCTGCATCTGTCTGGGCTGCTGAGGATCCACACAGCACCCAGGATGGCTTCCTAACTGGGGTGGGCACAATTGCTCCTTGCTGGCCACATGGCAGCTCTGCACCTCAGCTGGTGTTTGGCATGTGGGGTGGGATTGCTGCCCACCTCCCTCCCTCACTGTGGCTGGAGGTGCCCCCCATCTGCCTTCCCTGAGCTGTCTCTGTCCCTTCCCCTGTCCCTCCCGCTGGAGCGGGACTGACATCCTAATAAAGTGACTGTTGGGTTAGAGTGTTGCCACCCTGAGGTGGGGACTTGATCCTGAGTAAGGCCACAGCTACATTCCTCCACATGGGACCCCTGGTCTCCTCCACTCCTACCCAGCCAGCCCTAAGGTCAGTGTCTGCTGGCACCTACTCCATTACCTGACCCAGTGTCCACCAGTCATGGAAATGTCAGCCAGGGCTGTTCCTGAGCATGTCCCTTTGGGGAGCTCAGGCCCAGCTCTGGGAGTCCACTGCTGCCTGTTCTCCCAGTTGCTCCTGGGCCAGCTAGGGACATCAGAGAGACAATCCAGGTAGGGAACAGGGAGCTGAGGCTGTGGGATCAGGGTCCTAGGGGCTGGTGTAGGAGCAGATGCCCAGAGCCTCCATAGAGGTTCCAGATCCCTGAGGTCTGGAGGCCAGGATGATTTGGGGGCTCCCAAGGGAGATGCCTCCTCAGAGGTAGCTGTCCATCTTGTCCTGGGCCCCAGTGGTGTGCCTCAGGAACCCTGGCTGTGCTGGGCCTCTTCTTGTGTGGTTGGCCCAGGAAAATGGCCCCAGCAGGGGGGCACCACATTTGCAGGGGGTCAGCCCCAGCCCTGCCTATGGTGTCCAGGTGAAGCCACTCAGGGCAAGACCCAGGCATGTGGGTGGATGAGGATTTGGAAGAGGGAAGCAGGCAGGAAGCCCAGGCGGAAATAGCTAGGGAGACCAGGCGTCTTGGGCCCTGTCCAAAAGGCCAGATGTGTTTCAAGGAAGGCAGGCCAGAGCCAGGCCTGGACCTTAGGTGCAGTGTCGGGGACTGCTGTGGGCCTAGGCAGGCCTTTCCAGCTCCCAGCTACCCTGCCCCCAGGGACAATCAGGGATTCAGACCCTGAGGCCTGCAGGGGGAACAATGGAGCCCTTGAAGGCCCCCCCCTTCACCCCCCATTGTGCTTGGTGGCGAGAGGTGGCCCTGGCCCAGCCACACACCCTCGGGAAGGACCAGCATCGTCCGGCAGGTGGAAGGGCTCACTGAGACTTGTATTTCCCAGCCTGGAGAAGGTAGGGCTCTGCCTGGGAACCCCACCCACCTCCCCAGACTCATCCAGAGCAGGAACTAGCGGTGAACCCCTCAGCCAGCTGAGGTAGGGTGACTTCACCCCTGCTGCACCCCACTCCTGGCTTAGCCTCAGGACCTGTGGGGAGGTAGGGGGGTTACAGAAGGACTCATCCTGGGGAGCATGCAACTGCTTGGATTGTGCACTGAGGGGCCCCTCTGGGTGTCTGTTCATCTTTGCCCAGCTGTGAGCAGGGGCCACTTAGGGGCTTCTGGGCAATGGGTGGGGGAGATGGGGCCTCAGGCTGCACAGGGCCTGCCTGGTGAGCAAGGCGTGCATTTGGCATCTCCCCCAGCAGCTGGGGCCCCTTGCCTGCAGCTGATGAGCCCCCAGCCAGTTGCAGTGTGTTCAGAGGCTGGGCCTGGGCACTATTTGGCTTGACTGAGAAAGCCAGAGGCAGGGGGTCCCACCCACAGGGCCTGCTCCACTGCCAGGAGGCACTCAGCCTCTAATCACTCAGGACCCCAGGCAGGCTGGCTGTCCTTTGAGCAAGCCCCTCTCACCTGCTGGGCCCAGGGCCTCAGCGGGGAGCAGAACAGACATATGGCCAAGGAGCAGGTCATGCAAGGATAGCAAACCTTGTGCTGAGTAGGGTGGGTGGGGTTCTGGAGGTGGCTGGAGCAGGCCTGTTAAGAAGGCGTTAGGGCAAGGATGGGTGGTTGATGTTAGGGTCCCAAGGAGGAGTACTAAGGCCTGGGGGAAGAAGGACTTGTCCAGAACAGCCCTGCTGACCGTTGCGCTAGGGCCACCAAAGCTTCTGCACAGGAGGTCCTCATGAGCCCAGGCATCTGCTGTGGGAGGGCATGAGGGATGTGGGTCCAGGGACAAGGTGCAGGGGGTGCATGTGGACCCCTGTGAGAGTGGGCAGCACAGCACCCTCCCTGGGTCATGGCAGAGATGGTTAGAAGTGATCACTGCTAAGGTGCAACTTCTCTGTCCTGCCACCCTGTGAAACGGGGTCCTTCCTGCGGTAGTTGTGGGAGGTCTCCCTGGTGACTCTGGAGGAGGCTGTCACCCCCATCCCTCTGTCTTCCCCACCCACACTCAGGCCAGCAGCCTCACTTCTGGAGGACCGGCCACTCAGTTCCAGGTTGTACTGCAGCAGCAGCTATCTCAATGGCAGGGCAGTGATTTTCCCTCATCCCACCTGGTCTCCATCTCTGAGGAAGGGGTGGCCCCTCCCCTCCTGGGTCCTGGTCCACGGGGCTCTGTGCCTCCCTGAGCACCCAGGGGGGGGCTCGACTGCAGGTGGGGAATGGCGGCAGGTGGGGCCCCTCGGGTACAGGCTGCAAGCTGTCCCACTCAGGAGAGCAGGTGGGGGAAGCACACATGATCACTACAGGGTACCCAGGGTGAGGGGTCCCCAGCCTGGAGTGCCAGGTCCCAGGCCAGTAGGCCCACAAGATGGCAGCAGTTACCTCAGCCCACGCCTGCATCTCCAGGCAGCTGGGGTCTGGCTGAATTTCTAGGCCACCTCCCAAGAAGCTCAAGTGTCCACTGACATGCTGGATTGCCCCCCAGGCCTGGGGGGCTTCCCCAGGGAGGTGCTGGCTGGTGTGGAATTGAGAGCCCGTGGTTGCACGAGTGTTCAAGTGGGTGTGAACCTAAACACGGGCTGCACACCCCTCGGCACACCTGTGTGGTCGAGAGGGGAGGCTGGAGACGTGGGAAGCAGGCTGGGACGAGGAGGCAGGAGAGAAAGGCCAAAGGTGGCCTGCCCGTGCACACAGGGGCAGCAGGCTCACTGCCATGGGCTGCCAAGGTCACCAGGGCCTGAGGGTTGGGTCCTGGTGGTTAAGGGTGCGCATCCCCTCTGGGCCAGCACGCCAGGAGATGCATGGTCGAAGCTCAGGTGGGTGTGCCAGGGCCCAGCCTGTAGGGTGGGCGCCGAGGCTGCTGTGGGTGAGTGTTACAGCCACCTCTGAGGATCCTGGGAGGGGACAATCAGGACTGGGGCCTCAGGCATGAGGGGTGCTGATGTGTGGACAAGGGACAGTCCCCCACCCAGCCCCTGCTTGGAGAGCTGAGCACTTGAGGGTGCCCCTCCAGCAGCCACCAGAGCAGGGGAAGCCCGGTCCTAGCCACCCCACTCTGAGAGGGGTGGACGCCTGAGGATGCCTGAGGGTGTTTCCCAGGACCTAGCTCAGAGCCAGTGATCAGGACTCGGGGGTGGGGGTGGGGGGGTGGGGTGGGGTGGGGAAGCCCATCCTACTGCTGGTAGGTCTGGGGCTACTGGTCTCCCACTGTGCCAGGACTGGGCGTGCTGACCAGGCCCTGACATTGGAGATTGCTGACAGGCAGCCTTTCCTACTTGCCCTGGAAGAGACCCCCGCAGAGGCAGCCCCCACTGCCTGTACCCCCTCCACCAGCTCCATGCCTCCCCTATCACTGGGAGCTTCCCACCTGATGGCCTCAGAGTGCCCAGGGCTAGGGAACACCCAGGGCTGCTGGGCACAGGCAAGCCCTGTAGTGAGCCCCGGCCCCCACACTCCTGTGAGCCCTGATTTGCGCTCCCAACCCCACTGTTAGACCCTTGTCATCTCTGTGAGCCTTCTGTGAGTCCCTGCTCCTGCCCTGAACCCATATCCTTCCTCCAAACTCCAGAGCCTGCACCTCCTGCTCTTCCCTGGCCTCTGACTGACTGCTACAGGGCCAGCTGGGGTCACTCCTCCCTCGCACCACCATGCTCTTCACTGCCTGCCTTGGGCCTGACACCAGGGCGCCCCTTGGAGGAGCCAGGCCTTCCAGTGGACCCCCTCCCAGATCCCACTGTAGGCCTAGTGTTGGGGGAGGGTTCCCCTGCTCCAAGGCCCTGCACTGGCTGGCCCCTCTGTGGTGCGTCCTTTACTTTAAACACATGCGGACTCCCAGGAAAGCTGGGAAGTTCATGCAAGTTCCATGAAGGTCACGAAGTTCCCCTGCCCTGGGATGCTGGACAAATTCGCCCAGGCATTCTGTAGTACGGCCCATGGGGAGGACTCCAGCTCTCTGCTTTGCGGGGCTGTGAGTTTGGGGAGGAAGAGCCCATCTCACAAATGGTACCCATACAGTGCTCGGACATGGCACTGGCCTGGGTCATGGCAGAGACAGCAGTGATCACTGCGACGGTGGGACTCCTCTGTCCTGCCACCCTGGGAGGCAGGGTCCTTCCTGCCGCAGTGGTGGGAGGTGGGTCTGGTGGCAGGTGCATCTCCTGGCAGGATCTGTCTGCTCTCCTCATCTTGGCTCCACCCGTCACTGAAGCCCTCAGGGGTCTAAGCCCAGTCTAAGTCCAAGCAGCCTTAGCCACCAGGAGCGCTTTCAGCTGACTTGGTTTCCCTCCGACAGGCCCCGCTGTGTGTCTTGCTCCTGTGCACCCGCCTCGTGTTTAGGCTCCTCCTCTCCAAAGCCACCCTGTGTCCCTGCCCTGGCTCTGGCATCAGCGCTTCTTTCCTTTCAGGGACTTGGAGTTAGAGACAACAGCCTGGGGCCAGGCGCGTCCCCAGATCCTCAGGCGTTTTTGCATCCTGGCCCTTTCAGGTGACAGCAAAGACAAGTGTGTGCACAAACCCATGGTTTTCTGCATTTTGTCTGTGAACTTCCTCTGTGAAGCTGTCCACCTCTCTGGAAGGCTGGATAGGAGCTCCATGGGTCTGGCTGCCATCATTATCCACAGAGCATTCACCCGCTATGCAGACAGATGACGCGTGGAGAGGGGATGGGGAAGGGCAGGTGCATGTGTGTGCAAGTGCACAGGCATGTTGGTGTGCAGGAGCACCTGTGTGTGCAGTACTATGCACTGTGCCTCTGTGTGCGGTGAGGCAGCTGTGGCCTGGCAGCAGTTGGCTCTGGCCAGCAGAAGGGACAGCAGGACTCAGGCCAGAGGTAGGGGGCAGTTTGCCTGGCGCAGGGGCCTGGTGAGACCCTCATATTTACCCTATCAGGAGTCACCTGGTAACTCTCGTGGGTCCAGCTGCCTCCCCAACTGCCCAGACACTGACAGGCACCCTCAATTCCAGACCCAGATGCCAGTCTCCCCTCCAAAATGGCCTCCCTGTCCGTGGTCCTTATCCTCCATGGCTTTCTCCTCACATCCCCACCAGGTCCATAAGCAAACTCTGCCTGGCCAGACTCCCCTCTGTATGGCCAGGCCATGGCGTCACTGCTTGGTGGGGTCTCAGCTGCTTCACCTCTCCCTCCTGTGGCCTGGAATTCCCACCCAACAGGCCACACCTGCTGCCCTTCAGTGACTCCTGGTAGGGTAAATATGAGGGTCTCACCAGGCCCCAGAGCCCCTCTGAGCACATAGATGTGGCTGTCTCTGTCACTGCCCAAGGTGGCTGTGCATCATTGTGTTTTCAGCTTCACCAGACATTGTCCCACCTGGACAGATGCTGGCTTCCTTGGTTCCCCTAGCTGGGAACAGTCTAGAGGGAAGGAGCTAGGGCTGCACGGGGAGCCCCAGTGGTCCTGTGCTGGGAGAGGCAGCTGGCAGGCTAGGTGCAGCAGAACCAGCAGGGGCTTGGAGAGGATGGGGTCCTTTATCGAGGCAGAGGATCTCTAGAGCTGCTGTGCAGGGTATGGAGAGAGAAGGGCAGGGCTGCTGGGACTCAGGGCTGTGGGGGTTGATGGGGCTACTAGGGCTGGGGGCTGCAGAGGCTGGGAAGTTGGAGAAGTAGTGGGGGCTTGGGGGACTGGGTCCTGGAACAGACCCTCAGATACTGGGGCATAACTCTGTGGGAGCAGGAGGGAGTGGGGCAAGGTGGTGCAGCAGGATCTGACCACAGAGCTCCCCTGAGAAGTTCTGGGGAGAGAGGGATGGGCAGGTGCTCAACAAGAGATGTGGCTCTGCCAAGGAAGGTTCTCCCTAAGTCCCACGGACAGGGTCTTAGGCCTGGGTGGGGATGCCTTTCCCATCCAGGGAAGGCAAGATGGTGAGCTTGGGTCACCAGCTATAGGTAAGCTGAGCGACTGCAAGGCCCCTCGACTGAACCCTGAGTGCCAGGTTTCCAGATGCCCCCATCTGGCCGTCGTTGACTGCTGCCCACGCCCACAGGTCCTGCCCGCCCGCGCCCATGACCAACATGAGCTGGAGCTTCCTGACGCGGCTGCTGGAGGAGATCCACAACCACTCCACCTTCGTGGGCAAGGTGTGGCTCACCGTGCTGGTAGTCTTCCGCATCGTGTTGACTGCTGTGGGCGGCGAGTCTATCTATTCCGATGAGCAGTCTAAGTTTACTTGCAACACGCGGCAGCCGGGCTGTGACAACGTCTGCTACGATGCCTTCGCACCCCTGTCGCATGTGCGCTTCTGGGTCTTTCAGATCGTGGTCATCTCAACGCCCTCCGTCATGTACCTGGGCTACGCAGTCCACCGCCTGGCGCGTGCCTCGGAGCAGGAGCGGAGGCGCGCGCTCCGCCGCCGCCCAGGTCCCCGGCGCTCTCTCAGGGCGCACCTGCCACCGCCTGGATGGCCGGAGCCCACTGACCTGGGCGAGGCAGAACCCATGCTTGGGCTGGAGGAGGAAGAAGAGGAAGAGCCAGGACTGCCCGAGGGGCCGGGAGAGGACACGGAGGAGGAGCGCGCAGATGAGGTGGCAACCAAGGGGGCTGGGGTAGACGGCAAGGCGGCTGGGGGCCCGGGTCCAGCCGGGCAACACGATGGACGGCGACGCATCCAGCGCGAGGGACTGATGCGCGTGTACGTGGCCCAACTGGTGGTCAGGGCTGCCTTTGAGGTGGCTTTCTTGGTGGGCCAGTACCTACTGTATGGCTTCGAGGTGCGGCCCTTCTTCGCCTGCAGCCGCCAGCCCTGCCCACACGTGGTGGATTGCTTCGTGTCGCGGCCCACTGAGAAGACTGTCTTCCTGCTGGTCATGTACGTGGTCAGCTGCCTGTGTTTGTTGCTCAACCTCTGCGAGATGGCTCACCTGGGCCTGGGTAGCGCGCAGGACGCCGTACGTGGCCGCCGCGGTCCACCAGCGCAGGTGCCTGGTCCCGGGCCGCGCCCACCACCTTGTGCCTTCCCGGCCCCGGCCACCAGCCTGGCCTGCCCGCCCGACTACAGCCTGGTGGTGCGTGCTGCTGAGCGTGCACGCGCGCATGACCAGAATTTGGCTAATCTGGCCTTGCAGGCGCTGCGTGACGGGGCGGCAGCAGGCGGAGACCGGGATAGCCCGCCCTGCCCTGGGCTCTCCGCGGCCAACCGGGGGCCACCCAGAGCCAGCGCACCGGCTTCTGGAACCGGCAGCGCCACGTCTGGGGGCACCGCCGGAGAGCAGGGCCGGCCTGGGGCCCATGAGCGGCCAGGCGCCAAACCCAGGGCTGGCTCCGAGAAGGGCAGTAGCGGCAGCAGGGACGGAAAGGCCACTGTGTGGATCTGAAGATACTGGCGGGGATTGCTGATGTGGGGGGGCTCTGGAGGAAAGTTGATCTCAATTCTGTTAAGACAGCGGCACCCAAGGCAGCTCTGGCTGCTTCTCCTGCCTGGGGAGGGACGTTGTAGGGAGGAGAAGGGGCTGAAGGCCAACAGGAGGCAGGGTCTGGGCACCTCTGAGGCTGAAAGACGGGGAGGAGGAAGCCTGTGTGCCCCCAAGGGTGGGCAAAGCAGGGGCCCCAGAATGACTGGCCGTGCCCCTGCTGAGCTGTTGGGCCCTCAGAGATGACCACTGCCTGCCTCCCATTCCTTCCCTCTGAGCTCCCTTGCAGCAACCCACTGACCACCTGAGTCCCTGGAACAGACATTTTGGGGACTGCAGTTTCCACTCGCTGCCACAATATGTGGTTCCTTTGCCACACCTTCAGCCTGGAGCCCTGGTTCCAGCAATCCCAGGACAGGCATAGGGTCCTGGGCTCAGCCCCAACCTGCACCAGTTCCTGGTTCTCCTGGGGTGACACTCTGCAGAGGACCTTTGATGGACAGGACCACCCCTTCTCTGAGCCTCTATGGCAAAAAGTATCAGCTAAGGTTTGCTGCCTAGACTGACAAAGCAGTGGTTGGGGACCTGTGGCTGGGTTATGCTAGAGGAAGGGGTCTTGGGAAGCCTGCCCATGACCTCTCTGCCTGCCTTCCTAATTCAGAGCCAGCTTTGGAACTAAGGGAGCAAAATAAAACTAACTTTTGTTTACAACAGGGTGTGTGCACTTGTGTACATCTGAGCACGAGTGAGTTTGTGTTAATATGCACACTGGTAACTGCATGCACTGTGGCTATGTATGTGACTGCATACATGTAAGCAGGCACATGTGTGCCCAAGTGTCCACTACCAGCCACAGGGGGCACCTAGCTCAGCACCAGCCTGGCTGGGAGACCTCTCCCCAGGGACAAGCAGGGAGCAAGGCCTGAGATGGAGCTCCTGAAGGTCATTATCAGACACAAGATGGTGCCACTGGGTGCCAGGGAGTGTGCTGGGGCCAGGAAGTGGAGGCCACACTTGTCAGGAAACAAAGGACAGTCATGCACAAGGTTGCTCTGCCACTCATGGACAGGGCAGTCCATCTCAGGCGCTGGAGATGTTGGAATGCTGGCCAGAGTTTGCCACTCCCAGCAGGGGGCCATCTTGGTGCAGACCCCAGGTGACATAGCTGCCTCCCCACCTTCCTGGGCTGAAAACCCCTCTCTGGAGTCCCTGGTTCAAACCCTGGCTGAGTCCCAAGTCTAATGGCAGGCTGACTCTGGCCAGGCGCCAAGTGCATGCTAACTAAGTCCCTTTCCTTTCTGGGGCCTAGTTGATTGAGCCCCAGCTGACCTTCACCTCCAGGAGCCCTGACTTTAGGCTCAGCACCAGATGAACCCTGGCTCTAGGGGACCTCTGTCCCCAGGTGAATCCTCATTCCAAACTAAGCACTGCCCCACGAAGTCATGGATGGTGATTCTGGATGTGGTCTCTAAGAGGGTAGGAAAACACCATCCAGAGCAGGTGTCTCCTTCAGCGGGGCTACCTGCCAGCATCTCCTAATGAAAGTTCCACATTAGAGGCCATCCAGATCTGGAGCTGTGCTGCTGGAGGAGCTGCTGCTAGCGAAGGAAGGTCTCTGTGCTGGAACTATGGTGCCAAGCCTGGGATTGGGCATCGCTCTCACCCTCTCTCAACTTAACCAGTGCTGTTCGAGTCTTCACCTGATTGGATGAGGCCCACCATTGGCTTTCCTCTACCCAAAGGCTAATCTTGTGGGGAAACACTTCTCCAGACACTCACAATAATGGTTTTTGAAATTTTGTTTTTAATTGACGTATAATAATTGCATGTTATGGGTTAGATGTCTACAATGTATAAAACGTCTTTGTGTGCTGAGCCTTTGAATCCTGCCCTCTGGTTCTTTATGATATATATAATAACTGTCATCAACTACAGAGTGATGTTTGGCCAGGCACTTGGGCACCCTGTGGCCCAGCCGAGGGCGTGTGAGGGAACTGTCACACAGCCCAAGCAGATGATGTCTCCAGATCTCGGGCTGGTTTTGCTCCTCTGGAGATCTCCAGCCCGTACACACCCCTTTGCTGGAGCCAGTTCAGAGGGACCCAGGTGACAGGGAAGCTGCAAAGGGAGCTTCAGCCTGCTGGGCTGCCAAAACCTGCTTCTCCTCCATCCCCAGGTCCCAGGCACAGTGCAGGCAGGGCAGGCTTCCCCAGCCTCCGCCTGGGCTTGCCTCCACCTCCCTCCCCACCCTTTCCTCTCCACCATCTCGCAGTAGCCCTGGGTCCTGTAGGATGAGGACCCACCCCAGTGACCTCACCATACCTTAACACCCTCCTAGGAGGCCCACCTCAAACACAGCCTCGTTCTAAGGTCCCAGGGCTAGGACTTCAGACGCTGCCCAAGTACGATGGCGTATGTCCAGCTGGAAGCCACATGGCATGGAGGTGGACAAAGGGGCCCCAAGGGATAACTTCTCCTCCCAGAGACCTGGGGGCTTAGGGGCCACTGAGCCCATCAGTTTGGTGAGCATTTCATGGGGATCACTAGGTCTTGTTGCCCCATCTTCCCATCCGGAGCACCCCCACTGTCCTTGGCTCCCGTGGATCTGCAGGTCCCACCTCCAAGGCCATGTCCTCCACACCTGGGAAGAGCGGTGACCTCCAGCCTGAGCCTGAGCCCTAGTAGGAGGGCTGCCTCAAACGGTGCAAGAGGCAGCCCAGAGATTACTGGCCTCCTCATTCTGGGGAAGAAACCCACCCACATAGACCTGCTGCCTGACAGTCACTAGGTGCCACGCCTGTGGTACACCTGTCATCCTAGCCCCTCTGGAGGTGGAGGTAGGAGGATGGCAAGTTCAAGGCCAGCTGGGACAGACCCTGTCTCAAAAGTAAAATAAGGCTGTGGGGGATAGCTTGGTGGCAGAACATCTGTCCAGCATGCATGAGGTCCAGGTTTGATTCCCCAGTACCACAAGGCAAGACACCGAGCTACTGAAGATAAAACTCCCCATGCCTCAGTTTCCCTGACTGCATGGGATGACCACAAGGGCACCAGGCCAAGCCTGGACACTGCCCAGGGGTTGTTGGGACACGGGCCAGGCCCTGGAGCAGGATCAGGTTGGAATGCGCAGAGGGCAGGGCTGGACAGGGCCAGGTTCAGAGGCAGAATGGGGCAGCTCCTTCCTCCTTCCCCTGGGTGGGAGGAAGCCAAGAAAGAGGAAAACGGGAAACCATAGCTACCTGGGGAAATTGGGCTGGGACACAGGTCGGCCATTTCCCAGCTCTTACACCCCTACTGAAGCCAGCCCCACAGGATGAGTCCCTGTCTCCTGGAGCCTCCCTCCCACACACACCTGGCCACCCAAAGGCGAAGTCCATCTTATTTTCTCTGATTGCCTGTATCTCAACAGCCCAGTGGGTCTTGGCTGGCAGTCAGGGTGGGCCTGGAGGGCGCTGCAGGCCAGACCAGCTCTGAGAGGCCAGATAAGCTGCCTGTGTGCCCTTCCTGCTAGCCCTGCATGGGTGGGAAGCCAGAGATGGGCTGACGTGAGGGCTGCGGAATGTGACCGCAGCCCTGGGTGCTGCCCCCTGCCAGTGCTGTCCTGCCTGGCTTCCGTTCTCCTCACTGAGGCTGGCAGGGAGGTACCAGGTCACCCTCCAGCCCAGGGAAGAGGAGGGGGCGGTGGGCAGGCAGTGCATTCCAGCCTGGCTGCTGTCAATCAGGAAGCCTGTGGCCCAAGGGCCCCCAGGGTGGGGGAACTTTTGGGGTTTCTGCCTGGGCCTCTGCCAGTCCAGGTTCTGCCTCAACAGTGGTCAGGCCCAAATGGGAGGGATCCACAGCCCCATAGGATTTGGGCTAGACAGAGGGGCCTCGAAGGCAAAGTCCAGAGACTGAGGCCTGATCACAGCCAGAGTCTCAAGCTCAAGTGTCTTCTGTAGAGATGCCTTGGCAGGTAACTTGCTAATTCCTCCAGTATTAACTGAGTGCCAGTGTGTGCCAGGGCTGCCTGGAACCTGGGGTACAGCAGCGAGTTCCGGTAAAGATGCTCTGTTTGGCCAAACTGCAGTCAGAACCTCATAAAATTCAGCTTTAGCTGGACATGGTGGCACATACCTGTAAAGAATAGGCATTCACGGCACACAGCCGTAATCCCAGCTACTTGGGAGTCTGAGGCAGGAGAATCTCAAGTTCAAGGTTAGCCTGGGCAACTTAATGAGATTCTGTCTCAAAATAAAAGGGCTATGTATGCTCAGTGGTAGAATGCTCTTGGGTTTCAGTTCCCAGTCCTGGGGGGAAAACTCCACTTTTAGCTAGAAGCCCCACCCTCACCATCTGATGGTTTCTCATCCCTGGCCTGCCCACAGCAGAATCCTGCCACTGGGTCCAGTCGGAGCCCTCACCTGCATCTTCTCCTGGTTGTTTTTCCAGCTACCAACCAACCCACCTCCGTGGAGCTCCAGCTCTCCTCTGCCTTCACCACGGCCCCTCCATACAGGCTCCCTTGCTGTCATCTGAACAGGTACTGCGAGTAGCTGCACAAAACATCCCTCCTGCCTGGAGCTCAGGACCATAAACACAAAACCTTCAAAGGAGCTCTGACATGCTGGGCCAGAGTGGACAGCTGTGGAAAAAGGAGATGGCATGCAGGTCCCAGGGCAATCTGATGCACAGGTGCCCTGCACTGAGCCACAACTGGCCCCCTTACCCTTCCCCAAGAAGTGCCCTGGGGTGGCTGTGGCTCCTCAGCAGGTGATTCCTGCCATGGCGTCCCAAGTTCAGCCATGGGTGGTCCTGGGGAGGGCCCATGAGGCGAGAGACATGACCATCACAGCCAAACCATGTGTGACACTGGCTAGAAGGAGACCAGTGGGGGCATGATGGTAGCTGAGAGGCAGGTGGTGTCTGTCATGCCACAATGTCACTGCTCAGAGGCTAGAGGTATAGGCACTTGTCGTTGTCCTTGGGAGACACATGGAGATGGTGAGTCCTATGCCTGCAGCCAACATCCCCAGGGCCCAGCAAACAAAAGAGCAAAATGTGAGAGACTGTGGAGAAGGAAGAGGCAGTAAGAAGTGGGCCATCAGGAACAGAGGGGACAGCCACATGACTGTTCCTTTTGTCACTCCTTTGGTGTCCGTGAGCTGGGAGTGTATCAACACAGGATACTGAACATTCTCACCTCTCCACACCTAGGTTGAAATCCTCTCCCAGGCCATGGTGTCAGGAGGTAGGACCTCTGGGACATGATGAGGTCATGAGGGGAGCCTCTTGATGGGATGAGTCCTTATAAAAGGACCCCAGGAGGTCCCTGCCCCTCCAGGCAGCAGCCCTCACTGTAACCTGCCCTGCCTAGACCTTGGACTTCTAGCCTGCAGGAAGTTACTCTTGAGCTGTAGCAGCTGAATAGGCATTCACGGAGCCTCAGGCCACCGCAGTCCTTGACCTCAGTGTGACTTCGAAATGAGGCCCTAAAGGACATGGTTAGGTTAAATGTGGTCACTGCCGGGACCTTAATCCTACAGGATTGGTGTCCTCATAAGAAAAGATTAGGACACACATACATAGAGTAATGACCATTCGAGGACACGGCCTCACCAGAAACTAGACCTGTGGCACATCTGGAGATTTGGTCTCAAGAACGTCCAGACAAAAAACTACTGTTTGACAGACCCCACACCCTGGCTGCAGCACTTTATAATGGTAGCCAAAACAGACGAGGGCTCTCTAGGAAACAGGTTGGCAGTTTCTCAAAAAACTTAGCATCATCATATGGCCCAATAATCCCACCTCTGGGAACATACCCCCAAGAATCCAAAGTGGGTTCTCAAAGAGATAGCTGTCTGTCCACCCATGTTCACAGGGGCCAGAAGCTGAAAGCAAGCTAAGGGCCCACTGAAGGATGAACAGGTGAACCAAGTGCGATCTACTCATATAGCTGAATACGACTCATCTTCCAAAAGAAGAACATTCTGCCAGCTGTGGTGGACACCCATAGATACTCAGGTGGGACGCTCGAGCCCAGAGGTGCAAGATGGGCCTGAGCAACAGAGTAAGCCCTGTGTGTGGGGGGATGAACCCGGAGCCCACTGTGCCACGTAGAACTAGGCAGACACGAAGGGCAGCCACAGCATGACTGCACCCCAGGAAGCCCCTGGAGCCCTCCCACTCCAACGGAGGAACACGGGGGAACCGAGCTTCCCTCTGGAAAGAAGTGCTGGGGATGGGCGTGGCTACAGAGCAGCGGAACATGCTGAACTGAACGCCCACACCGTTACCAGGACAAGCATTGTTACCACAATTAAAAAAGTGGTTAAAGAAGGCCAATTTTAGGCGTTATGTTCTGACCCACAATGAAACGAACCTCCCACACGGAGACGGGGAGCCAGCCTGGCAATACTCGGGGGCGATGCCAGAGCGCTGACGGACAGGCGCAGGCCCCGCCCCACACGCCCCGCCGGCACCGCAGTTCTTCCCACCCACGCAGCCCCGCCCCTCGCGCACGCCCCGCCCTTATCTCGGCCCGCGGGGCCACACCCCTGTCCCCACCCTGACACACCCCTCCCGCGCACACGCCTGTCCCTTTCTACCGGCGGCTGCCGCCAGAGGCCGCTGTAGCGCCTGCCCTCCCGCCGCCTCACTAGTGCCCAAGATGGCGGTCGCGACGCTTCTCCGGGGCGCGGCTCCGGGACGCGGCGGCCCAGCTTGGCGCTGGAGGCTGCACGCGGTCCCGAGGCGCCGTCTGGCTCATAGCTCTGGCCGTTTTGGCAGGGACCGTACGGATAGGGCGGCTTGGGCGTGTTTCCTGCTAGACGAGCGCTCCCTGCTGCGCGTGCGCGGCCCGGACGCGGCGCCCTTCCTGCTGGGGCTACTGACCAATGAGCTGCCGCTTCCGGGTTCCCCGGACCACGCGGCCACGCCTCCTGTGCGCGCGGCCTACGCCCACTTCCTAAACGTTCAGGGGCGCACGCTTTATGACGTCATCCTGTACGGGTGAGCACGGGCGTGGGTAGTAAACTTGGGGAGGGGCGGGGGATGCGTAAGGGGTGGGCCTCCGAGGGAGAGGCGGGGCGCTGAGCGGGGGAAGGATGGACTGGACTGTCTGGAGGGGATGCTCAGGGCTGGGGAGTGTGCGCTGGTCTCCCAGGCGAGAGCACCCAGCGGAGGGTGGGCTGGACAACCCACTGTCTGCATCTGCATCATAGGGAGCACCTGCTGGCGTGAATGGAGAGACAGGTGACCCCAGGCCCGTGTGCACTAGGGCTGGTTCTTGTTTCTGGACCCTCTGTGGGGCGAACAGATGGACCTCTCTGTGGGGGTGAACGATGCGTGCCACCTCTGTGCTCAGCCTCTGCTCCTCCTTCCTCGGCATCTCGCTGTAGTTCTGCCTTTTCGGAATGACCAGAGTTGGAGGCACGCAGGATGCAGCCTTTCAGAAGGCCTCTTTCCCTAGTGGTATGCCTGTGGGTTTCGCCTTCGTTAGCTGATTGCTGAGTTTTAAGGTCTCTGCCTTGGATATCAGTTCTTCATTGTCTTTTGTTTCTGTTGGAGTCCAGCTCCAACAGGGCGTCTCAGGAGACGAATGGATGGTGAGGAGTTGGCTTAAGGGGGTGAAGAAACAACACATACACAAAAGTGAAGGTGCTGAATCCCAATCTTTACTTGTGAAGCTAATCATATATACTTTTCATTTTGGCAGGCTCACAGTACTTTGTGGTTACAAAACAGGAATCATTATTCAAAGAAACAAAATTTTATGTAGCTACAATTAGATAAGAAGAATGTATCTTGGCTTATGCATAAGCAAGCATTTTTATTTTCAGCTCACGTTTGCTTTGAGCTATTTCTGCTTAGTTAGCTTTTAGTAATAGTTAGAAATCTCCCAGACTATTGGCCTATACCTTGACTATTCTTTCTTGACTTACTGACTAGAACCGCAGCCGCGGTTATGGCAAGTGGTTAACTTGAAAAGAGAGGCTACTAATTTTAATCAAACAAAGAGTAAGAGCACAAACCATTGTGCACAGGAACAAGAACAAGTTGCCCAGTACCAAGCACTAATCTGTCTTCTTAACATTAATTCTTCTTCTCTAGATTTTAATTTAATTTCTCAAACATTTCCTTGACTATTTTTCCTACAGGGGGTTTCTCATTAAACATTAGCAATTTATGTTCCACAGCTGAATCATTGCATTTAGAGCAAACAGATTGATTCTTTAGAAGTAGTTGCATCAATTGGAAAGTCATGTTTTTTCCTTCATACTTAATGGTCATATGAGAAGTCGCAACTATACTTATTAACAGGAATAGAAAAACAAACCAGCCCATTCCCAGAAACATACTGCCCTCCTCCAGAGGATGGATGCCCTGTGCCATCCACTTCAGTAGGGCCTTGCCTTTGCCTGAGTCAGGGGAGGGGCGCAGCATGCTTCCACTCCCAGATGAGACTCCAGTATTTTGAAGCTTTCTCTGGTGCCTTTTTTGTCAGTGGTTTTGACCTGTCTTTCTCTTGGAGGCTGGGAGGGCAGGACTGGACTGTGGCCTCAGTGTGTGCTGAACTCTGTGGGACTCCTGTGCAGTCTCAGTCCTAGGGCAGTGTTGCTCTCAGAAGGAACCCAGAGGAGTCAGAAGGCATCCCATGCCTGTTTGTCTTCCATCGAGATGTCCCCTTGCCCTGTGGGTACACATGATGAGCCGCAACTTGGGCTTGTCTTGGCTCTCTCCTCCCTCCCAAGTGGCCAGGGTTCCATGACCCACATGGACACAAGCTTTGCCTGAGTCTCTGGTCTCCACTGTATCTGCAGCTTGCCCGTCATTAGGATGTCTAGGACCTGGTCCCTGTCCACCTGTGTGTCCTGCACCCCAGTCCCCAGGACTCCCGAGCCTTTGTCCTTGCTCAGGATCCTGTGGTTTGAGGCTCTCCCTTGCAAGGTGGGGTGGAGGCTGGGCCTGCACCAGCCTTTGTAGGGGCAGTTGGTATTCCAGACGGGGCTCTATGGGATCAGGAGGAGACCTCTATGTAGGGCTTGGGGGGTTGGCTTCTCTGCCCTGGTGGCAGTGCCCTCCCTCTGCAGGATGCACCTGTGGCCATGTAGAAGTGGAGGCATGTACATGCCTGGGTGCTGCTTCATGGGGGCAGCCCTCCTGTTGGGCCAGACCTGCCCAGAGCCCACCTCCTCTGCCTGGGCTTTGCACGCTGGCAGGGCTGCAGGACTCAGGAGAGCACAGGTGCAGCATTTGGGGTATACTCACATACTAGGTCTTTCATTTCCCTGGGCTCTGCTATGTGGTTTTGACCAACCTCAGTGGAAAGTTTGAAAAGGTAACCTGGCCTGTGTTGAACGTGTGCAGACTCCACTCCTCTCCGTTCCCTCAGTGGTGCATAGTGTCAGCCATCACATGGGTGTGCGCTGTGTCAGGTATTCCAGACCACCCGAGGTGACCTGAAGGTGGGAGGTGTGTGTGAGTTCTGTGCAAAGTCTGCACCATTTGAAATAAGGACCCTTTGGATACTGAGGGACGACAGTGCTAAGACTCACGCCCTGCTGATCTTCAGTTCAGATGTAACTCAGATGTCCTGTATTTCATCTGTGGTTCTGCCCCCTGGAGACACCGGGCAGTGTCTGTCTGTGGTGGTAGTCCTCAGAGCTGAGTGGGCATGTCCAGTGTCCTGACAGACAGTGCCACAGTGCTGAGATCGAGAGAGATGCCCCAATCCTGCTCACCTGTACCTCAAGGCTACTGCTACCGTCAGTCCCCGTCAATCCAGAGGGAGCTAGACCTCCTTCTGGTCCCAGTGCTGCAGGGAGGACTTGGGGCCACAACCCAGCATTGGCTGTACAAAGGAACTTATGTTGTTCTCATTCACAGGCACACCTGGGTGTAAGTGCCCTGCCCCCAGAACCTAGGCCCCGTGAGAAGTAGTGAGGCTGGGGGTGCCCAGCAAATACCAGGTGGAGGGGTTAACTCAGCCTGGGTGGGCATCTGAGCCAAGTAGAGCAGCTAAGCCAGTGTCTGCAGCCCATTGGGAACCAGGGACCTGCCTTGGAGCTCAGGACACACTGGTTGGCTGTGGAGCCCGTGACCCATTCCTGTACCCTCGCCCCTCCCTGCCCTGCGGCTGTGGCCCTCCCCAGCCTCTGCAGCTCCTGTTCTTGCCCTGCAGGGCTCGAAGTCTCCCCTGCTCACCTGGACCCTTCATCCACAGGTGGCAGCCGGCCTGTCCCTCCTCGGGCAGTTGGCAGCCAGCAGCCAGGATGCCCGGCCCTGTGAGGTGGGCCAGGTGGTCACCTTGCCATACTGGCCTTACCTGTGGCCCTCCATCTCCCTCTGCTGGTGCCACTCTCCCGCCTTGCACTTTCCCTCAGCTCGCCTTTGCTCTTCCTTTCTTGCTGGGCTCTATACCCACTTCTGACGGCTGCTTCCCGGGTTTCACTTAGTCTTTCTGCTGGCTTTACTGTAGATTTTTAAAATGAAAACATGCATTTGGGTAAAATCCATAATAATGTGAAAAGGGTCATGACGGAAAGTACCCTTGTGCTGCCTTCTCCCTCAGCGTGAATCCCCCACCTAGAGGCCGCTCCTTTCCTTTTTAGTTTTTTGTTTGGAATAATTATAGGTTCCCAGAGAACTGCAAAAGCACTGTGTGCGAGAGGTCCCAGTTTCCCAACTGTGGCCAAGGACCACAAGCAGGAAGCAGAGGGCAGCCAACCTTGGGCTTTTCCAGATGTCTTATCTGTCAAGGATTGCAGCTCTGAGGGTTTACGCCCATGTAGATTCGCTCAACCATGATCCAGATCCAGAACATTCCATGCCTAGGCGGCCTCTCCTGCTCTGGATGGGCACCTGCCCCAGCCCCCCATCTCTCTGTCATTTCAGGAGCATCCTGGGGGGATATGTGCAGTTGCAGTACCTTGGGGTTGGCTCTCAGGCCTCCCCACTTGGTCACTGTCCCTTCTCCTTGCCTGCTGTAGCCAGGTGGCTATAGTTTCGTGGGCCCTTGCCCTTCACTTTCTGGCAATTAGTAGTTAGCTGGCTGCTGTGAACTCTTGGGTTCTCAGTGTGCAGTTGTCATTTCTGCAGGAAAGGTACCCTGGAGGCAGATGCTGAGCTGTGTGTGGTGGTGTCACTCGTGAGGGGGTTTGGAGGTCTCCCCAGAGGCAGAGGACAGGTCAGATTTCAGCGAAGAGGGAGAACTTCATTAGAGAGTAAGGTGAAGGTACACATTCTCAGAGCAGAATTCAGGCCATCTGAACAGTGAGAGGTGCCTCTTGGGGTCTCTAGCTGTTTTAGAGGAGCTTTTGTGAGGAAGGGGCCTGGGAAGGCATGTGGGATTGGTGTCACCCTGGGATCACAAGACTGTTCATGGTGATATGGCCATTCTCAGGCTCTTTAGGTGGAGGCTATCTCCTCTCTCTGGTCAGTAGATGACATCTGGAGTGTACCCTACATCATAGGCTTCTTTTTCTTTTTTAAAAATTCTTGATAATTTCTATTTATTTTTTTTTATGTGGTGCTGAGGATTGAACCCAGGGCCTTGCGCATACTAGGCCACACTCAACCACTGAGCCACAGCCCCAGCCCCATCGTAGGTTTCTTTTTTTTTTTTTAATATTTATTTTTTGGTTAGACACAATACCTTTATTTTGTTTATTTAGTTTTATGTGGTGTTGAGGATCGAACCCAGGGCCTCACCCATACTAGGCGAGCACTCTGCCGCTGAGCCACAACCTCAGTCCCCCATCATAGGTTTCTTAAAACATGGTATTTCCCTTTGTTGTATCTGTTTTAAAAGCACACGTGTCGGTACCTTGCACGGGTGGATCACAAGTGCCCAGGGCAGTTTCCTTAATGAGTGGATTCACGGTGGTCAAGACTGTGGGTGAACCTGCAGTGACTTCAAGGCGTACCCAATTTATCAGGGGTCTGGTGGTGGCCAGCAGGGAGGAAACCCAGCCTGGAGAGGAGGGAGGCACCCCACAGGGTTCCTTTCTCTTCCTGTCCCTTGCCTTTTACTTCTCCTGTCCCACTTCAGCTGCATGTTTGGTCTCATAAGAAACTGCCAGCTGTTTGCTTTCTGACCAGAGGTGCCGAGTGACCATTCGTCTCCTCCACATCCTTGTGGGCATGCAGGTTGCCATCTCTCTCTGCTTTGGCCATTTTGGTGGTGTGACATAAATCTTGAGGTGTATCCAACGTGAGTTTCACTAGTGACCAGTGGTGCCAACCTTGTCACACACTGGCATTCTAAATCCACACCTGTGAACAGTGTGCTTTTCCATCTCCCGTGGATGACCCCTTGAATTCTGTGATGTTGCTTGGGAGGTATTTGCTTTGACTCACTGTGCCAGGGTTCAGTACCTGCCTGTTGCCAGGTGACAAGGGGTGCCCAGGCAGTGTCTGGACTGTGGGATGAGGCCAGAGATGGTGCCGTGGAGTGTATTCCTGCCCACAGCTCTTTCTCTGGAGAGAACTTAGTGCCCTCTGGCCTGGGAGGGGCTGGGGCACCTGCTTATTATGGCTCTTCTCTCCTGTGCCCCTCCTGGAGTCTCGGCTTCCATGGGGCTGTGGATTCAGGCTCAGTCCACCTCCGCAACCCAGGCTGAATCCTGGATGTCTCCGTTCCCCACCAGCAAGTCTTTATGAGTCCCTGTCTTTAAGTGGCCTTGATTTCTGTCTGGCCAGGGTTATTTGAGTGGTGCGGTTCAAATCCCTTGCAGTGGGCAGTGTGAAAGTTAGCGTGTTTCTGGGACTTACTTTGGGGGTAATGGGCATGAGTATGGGCAGGGTGTGGCCTCTCAGAACACTGCACCTGGCTGAGCCCCACTGGCTCTCACTCCCTCCACCTCAGGACCCACCTCAGGACTCTTGGGCTCTTCAGTGTCTTCCTGGGACTGCAGAAGGCAGGTCCTGGCTGTCCACGGCCTTCTACCTCCTGGAGCCAGGATACCTCTGTGTCCCTTCCATGAGGCTCACCCCCTTGCGTCTCTGCAGGGCAGTTGGCCGAGTCTCATCTTTCCCATCCTGGCTCAGCAGCTGCTCAGCACAATGCCTTTCCGTGGGTGTTGTCACTCTGCAGCCTGTGATGGGTCTGGCCCCACCGAAGCGTGGCTCTCAGTTCCCACGTACTGTTGTGCAGGAGCAGCCCTGGGAGAACAGGTGCCAGGCTCCCTGTACCTACTCGCGCAGTGCCCCTGTGTACCTACGTGGGCTGTGCTATGCAGGTGCAGCCCTGGGTGGCCAGGTCACAACTGTTGGCCTGCTGGTCCTCACTGCGTCTGTGTGCTCTTGTGGAGCTATATGGTCCATGGTGGCCGTGTGCAGGGTTCTCTTGTCACTTCCTGGGTGTTGAGACCAAGGCCCTCTTTGGACTGCAGGCTGCAGCCCTACCCAACCAGGATCACGACTTTCTGCACATTGGTCTCTGCAGGTCACTTGTGTGCTGTGAGGACATGTGTCTGGAGGGGCAGTCCTTTGTGGCTGTGGCCATGGCTCTTAGCATGTTGGTGTGCAGGGCATCCTTGTCTGCTGGGTGCTCTGTGCCCTGGAGGCCCAGCCCATCGTGGCCTGGGGCACCATTCTCTGCCCACTACTACTCACTATGTGCTTGGTGAGCTGGCTGGGGGCGGGTGCTTCTGCCTACCCTCGAGCCTCCTGCCTCTCTCCTGGCAGGCTCCCCGGGTATGCAGAGGAGGCATCAGGCTTCTTCTTGGAGTGTGACAGCTCTGTGCTGGGCGCACTGCAGAAGCACCTTGCACTGTACAAGATACGGCGGAAAGTTACAATGGAGCCGCGCCCAGAGCTCCGAGTGTGGGCGGTGCTGCCCAACTCTCCCCAGGCTGACCAGACTGCACCGCTGCAGGAGAGGGCAGAGGCCACTGCCATCCTCACCCGCGATCCCCGGACTGCATGCATGGGGTGGCGGCTCCTTACCCAGGAGGAGGGTCCAGCCCTGCTGCCCCGGGCCCAGCTTGGAGACCTCCAGGATTATCATACGCACCGATACCAGCAAGGTATGAGTGGGGCAGGGCTGTGGGGTAGCAGGGTAGGACAGCTGGGGGGCTCCTGGAGGGCAGGGCAGGGGCTGGGGGTGGTTGGCACAGGTGGTGGGCCGTGGGAGGGCAAGGGTGCTGGTAGGCCCATCTCTGGTTTCTGATCCCCACAGGCATCCCTGAGGGGGTCCGTGACCTGCCCCCAGGGGTGGCTTTGCCTCTGGAGTCCAACCTGGCCTTTATGAATGGCGTGAGCTTCACCAAGGGCTGCTACATCGGCCAGGAGCTGACCACCCGCACCCACCACATGGGTGTCATCCGCAAGCGGCTCCTCCCTGTGCGGCTGACTGGCCTCCTCCCTGCAGGCGGTGTGGGCCCCGGCACTGCAGTACTGACTGCATCGGGACAGGCAGCAGGCAAATTCAGGGCTGGCCAGGGGAATGTGGGGCTGGCCCTGCTGCGTTTGGAGAAAATCAAGGGTCCTCTCCACATCAGGATCTCTGAAAGTGATCAGGTGGCAGTAACTGCATCCGTGCCAGGCTGGTGGCCTGTGGCCACCAAGTAGTCCTAGACACCCTCCACTCTGCAAGCCTTAGAGTTACGGGGCGCCTTGGGGCCTCTGTTCCTGGTATTCAGTCTGTCTGCTGTGCCCTCTTGGGTATGAGCAGGGTGAACGTGGGTGCTCCCTGTGGTGGCCACTTGAGCACACCTACCTGGGGAGGTTCCTGAGTGTGCATGGTTGCCCCGGGCTTCAGGTGGGTGCATCCTGTGGAGGGTCCCAGACTCATGAACTGACTGTGGGGAGTTCAATGCTGGGGACAGGATGGAGAGCCCGCGTCCACCCGTGCGCGGTGCTGAGTCCTTGCCTGGGCCAGGCCCCGGATGAGCTCACACACGGTCTGTGAGCACAAGAGCGTGAGCCTTTGTCAGTCCTGGTAGCTCCCTGGCATTGTCCCCCACTGCGGGGGATGTGTCCTGTGTGCCTCCAGAATGGGTCACTGGAGGAGGCAGGCACCTGTGTGTGCCAGGTAGCTCTGGTTTTGGGTGGCCAGGTGAGCCCTGCTCACTCCACACTGGGAATCCAGCCCCTCCTCCGGAAGCCCCAGGAGGGGCAGGGCCCAGCTGCTGCTGCTTTCTCCCGCCTTACCTGTTTGCAGGTTTGGGGACATATATGTGTGCTTTCAGTCAGTGAGCGACTTGCTGGTGAGTGATGGCCTGTTTGAACCACTGTCTTCTTCCCTCTGTTGCCAAGTGGACTGGCCACTGGGGTAGCCCTCGGAGGGACTATTAAAGTGTGACCTGAAGCAGCGCCTTGGGAGTCTTGTCTCATTCTGGGTGGGAGGAGGCTGTTCTTTGTTTTGGGGGTCTGGTGGACTGGACACAGGAAACAGCTCTCCCTGAAGAATAAGCAGACACAGCAGGTGAACTGAATCTGGCTTGTAGTGTAGCTCAGTGGAGGAACCCCTGCTCAGCATGTGCAGACCTGGGTCAGATCCCCAGCACCGCCTGAAAAGCAGATAAGTAACCTGTACTTCACGGAGTCGCGGGCGCTGCTGCACTGCAAAGACTGGGGAAGTCCCAGGGGTGGGCCTGGGTGAGTGGAGGGCCCTCTAGAACCTGTCGCCTCGGGTGGGGGCTGGGACTCAGAGTGAACTCTGGCCTGAGTACAGGGGCTCAGGAGGAGGCCGGGCATGTGTTAGTTGACTTGTGTCACTGTGACCAGAACCCCTCTCAGGAGAACTTAGAGGAGGGAGCTTACTGTGCTCATGGTCTCAGAGGTCTCAGTTCACAGTCGGCTGATTCCTTGCTCTGGGCCCAAGGAGAGGCGGGACATCATGATGGAAGGATGGAAGGACGAGGTGGAGGAAAGCTGCTTAGCTCCCAGCAGCCAGGAAGCAGAGAGAACAGGAGGCACCAGGGGCAAAAATATCAACCCCAAGGCAGGCCCTGGTGAACCACCTCCTCCAGCCAGAGCCCCCGCCCGTGGTCACCACCCCCAGAGCAGGAATCAGTTCAGATGATGAGCCCGGCAGATGATCATCTCAGTCTAACCATTTCACCTTTGGGCATTCCTGTATTGTTTCATGAGCTTTGGGGACACCTCATGTCCTACCCTAACAGGGAGAGGAGGAGAAGGCCTGGCTGTCATCAGCAGCAGCGGACTGGTAAGTCAGTGATGAGGGCTCTGCCAGCTGGCGAGCACAGGTGGACTCCTCGGGCAAGGACACAGGCAGCCTGACCCTGCCACAGTGCTGCTTGTGGCTGCTAACTGCCGAATGCCCAGGCATGTTTTCAAGTGCCCAGGCTACCAGCCTGACGGTAATGGAATGGACTCCTCATGGACACACAAAGGCTGTCCAGGCCCCAGCATGTGCACACAAGGCCTCAAGGGGAACCCAGGGCCAAGACCATAAAAATAGCCAAGTCCTCCCTCTTTTCTGTCTGAAGAAACATGCATTTCAGTTTTGTTGAGCACTGGGGCATGAAGGGGGTCATTTTGGTAGAGGGCAGAGGCCACTGCCATCCTTACCTGTGATGAGGACTCTGTTCTCTGGAAACTTCTGCTTGTTGGCGCCTCAGGCCCCGCAAAGGACTGATCTTTTGTCCCTGCCTTCCAGCCCTGCAGGCTGCATTTACACTGACGTTAAAACCTCTGAGCAAATTCTAGGCCAGGTTCCTCTTGGGTTGCAGCCTTGCAGCCAGGCATGTGACTGAGCCCAGCACCAAGCTGAGCCACGTCTGCACCCCTGGAACAGGACTTCATGTAGTGAGCTTGAACCACCGGGGCTCCTTGCTGCCCAGGGGCTGTGCTGTCCTGGCAGGGGCCTGGATGGCTTCCTGGTGGGGAGGAGGCCAGGAGGCAGATGTGCTGTGGTCACAGGTGCTCCCCTCCTGCCCGTTCATCCCTGGTGTCCTCAGAGCCTTCCAGGGCTGAGATCTCAGAATATTGGGCTGCATTGAAGAAATGGGCGTTTGCTGTGTTTTGTCCCAGCATTCAGAAAAGGATGTGCTTGCGATAAACACGCTTTCCCTGTTGACAAGCCAGCCCAGCTCCATGCAGAGCCCTGGGCCTGCTCCAGCTGCACACAGCCCCTGACCTTTACGATGGCCACACCAGCCTTAGGAGTGCTGATCTGTACGAAAGCTGGTGCAGACACTTGGAAAACTCTTTGCTGGCTTTCAACTCTGCTTTTTAGTTTGTCTTATAAAAAGTACAAAATTCTGAAAAATGTACTGCCATAATTTAAGGCAGACACAAGTGAAAACCTTTTGGAGAAAACCGTTTCCACACCAGCCTCACAGATGGACTGCTGAGAGGAGATGTGGTCCTTAGGAAGTCCTACTCATCCAACTGAGCTCTGCTGAGATGTCAGTCGGGAGCTGCTGCCAGGGACAGGAGGGCTTGGGAAAACCAGGGCAGTTAACGGGCAGGCTGCAGGTGATGACTGCAGGTCCCTGGGAAGGCAAGGCAGGCATACCCTGACCCTCACTGCAGAGGGCTCCCTGTCTGGAGCTGGGGGGTATTCCTAATCACCCACTGCAGGGAAAAGGTGGAGAAACACTGCCTCCTGGGGGTGGTTAGTGTGCACAGTAGAGGCTCCCAGGGCCTTTCCTGTAGGAGTTGTCAGGGGAGAAGGGGGCTCTCCCAGCCAGAGGGGTCTTTAAGAAGTCTTTAAGATAAAACATGCAGGGGAAAGCTACACACACACACACACACACACACACACACACACACAGTGATACCATGAGCAAGAGCCAGCAGAACAACAGGCAGTGGAACCAATCTGCAAGAGTAGGGTGTTAGTGTAGCCAGACACGTACAATAAGTATATCAAATTCATTTAACAAAGTAAAATAAGGGATTTAAATTTGAGAAAGTTGAAGTCCAGAGCAGAATAGTGGTCACCAGAGGCCAGGACAGTAAGGGAGAGGCCTGGGAGTCGCAACCTGGAGGAGCACTGTTGCACTGGAGGTGACCAGCGCAGGTAAAGTGTGTCAGAGGTCCTGCATGGTCAGTGAGTTAAGTGGGCAGCCAGGTTACCTGCCTATCCTGAGGGATCATTGGGGGGCACAGACGTACAAAAACATCACACTACCCCTAAGGAGGCACAACTATGATCAGCCTACGGGAAATAAGTAGATGTAAGAAGCAAGATGCGGGCTGGGGTATGGCTCAGCAGTAGAGTGCACGTATGAGACCCTGGGCTCGATCCTCAGCCCCACATAAAAATGAATAAGTGAAATAAAGTTGTTGTGTCCAGCTATAGCTAAAAAATAAATATTAAACAGAAAAGAAGCAAGAGGCTGTTTAAATGGTCATGTGGATTTGGAAAAGCAAGAGAATCTCCAGTGATAAAAATAGAATATGCCAGCCAGGCATGGTGGCACTTGCTTGTAATGCCAGCAATCTGACCACTCGAACCAGCAAGGGGAGGATGGGTATCTATTTCTGACAAGAAACAAGCACCACTTTCCTGGGAAGCCAGAACTACAAGGTCCTAAAAGTAAAAAACCCTCAGGCTGGGCATGGTGGCATGGCCTGTAATCCTGTTGACTCAGAGGCTGAGGCAGGAGGATGCACATCTGAGGCCAGCCTCAACAATGTAGCCATCCCCATCTCATTTAAACAATAAAAAGGGCTGGGGATGTGGCTCCATGGTAGAGCGCCCAAGGGTTTAATCACCTGTACCAAGAAAAACAAGAGTCACAAAACCCACCAAACCCAGTCCCAAGTGTTTCCGGAAGAACTGGAGACTGCAGAGTCTGAGGATCGATGGGTGTGAAGCACAGAGAAGCTCCTGGAAGACAGTCACAGGTCCAGGGAAGAAGTGAGAGCTGGGCTGAGAGGTCAGGAGAGAGGTGGCTGCACGTGACCTTTGGTGGCTCAAAGGCAATTCCAGGGGACAGGAAGGAGCGTCTCCAAAGAAATGCTGGCTGGGAACACAGCACTGGGGGAAGCACGGAGGGGAGGAACCAGCCAGCCCCGTGGCTTTGTTTGTGGACATTCAGTCTCCACTCCTCACCTGGAGGCCGGGCCTGGCCTGGCCTGGCTCATAAACATTGAGGCGTTGTGAGGTCATCCTGTCCTGGCCTGCGCCTCCTGAGAGTGGGTCACCTCTCTGGTCACTCAGGCCCTTGGCCTGGGAGCAGTCACTCAGACTGGCCTCGAGGCAGTCGCAAGAGAGAGGCTGGGAGCTGCTGCTCATGGCCTGAGCACTACTGGGGATGGCCAGCACTGTGGACCTGGCGGAGACGCATCTCCCAGGCACTTGGAGGAATGGACCAGTCTCGTCTCTCGTCCCTGTGCCTCGCTGGCTGACTTTCTGCCCTCTGTGCGAACCCCATGGAGCGTTGGAAAGCTTGTAGTTCTTATTAAAGTGGATTGGTAAACAGAGCTGAAGGGACCAGAGTGTGGCATAGTGAACATACAAACAAGTAACCCCCACCACTCGTGGTGACTGTGAGCCACTGTCCGTAACTGTGGGCCACCTCTCCCACAGCCCAGCTCCCTGGTTGGTTTGCACAGTGTCTCCACAAATGCAGAAGCAACCTGCTGTCCTCAGGACGGCTGCCTCGTCACGAGGCTCTGGGACTGTCTCTGCTGTTTAATGTGGCAGGACCAGCACTGCACGTGCTGCCTGTCGGGACGAGAAGTCCTCAGGCAGTGCGCCAGTACCCTGCAGGGCTGGGCATGCCAGGCAGTGCTCTGCACTGAGGTGCACCCACTCCGGGCAGTTTTTCTGTTCTGATCGAGGTGGGTGAAGGCCTGGCTTGGTGAATGCTGAAGGGGAAGGGTGGGCCAGGGGGCCCTGGAGGCCCAGGCTGTGTTCTCGAGGTGGAGCCCTGGCCTGCTGCCGGCCGTCAGGGGTCTGGGCGCCTTACCACCTCTGCAGCCCCTGCCTGAATTCCCTGATGTGCTGTCAGCCTTAGGTTGGCCCTTGGTGTTGGGGAGAACTAGTGGTTACTGAGTGTGTTTTATGTCAGAGGAAAAGGGAGGGTGGGACTGTAGGTGACAGGCGTGGAGGAGGGGGGCAGGAGGAGCAGCAGACCTGGCCGAGAGTGGCTTGTGCATTTCAGAACCCAGGAGGGGCACAGTGAAGGCCCAGTGTACAGCCGCTGGGAACTGAAGGAGCTGGGGGCAGTGGATGTGCTGGTGTCACTACCCTGAGCATGCACTCAACGGCCCTGTCCCCCATGACTGAGTGCCACTGTTACGTGCCAATCAAAAGAGGAAGCTTCCTTAGGAATCCCAGTAGCAGCAAGCACCAGAACCTTAGTGAACACCACGCCTGGAGACTGATGGGCTCTG